CCTTTTACCGTGTTTGAACATCCCCCCCTCCCCCCCTATTCGAATGGGCTATGATTCATTCCGTATTTTACAGGTTTAAATAAAAATACTAAACATATACTTTATTATGTACTTTATAAAATATAATCATATTATATTTTATTATATGTCAAATAATAATGTGCAAGAGAATTAAAGGACTCCGCGTACTAATTTTCTTTATATGGAAAATTAAAGCGACGCTGGCAGGTCGGCCGAATTTGCACGAGATCGATAAAAGACTTTTCAATGTCAGTGGTCTTTAAATAAACATTTTACAATATCGTTCTGTCTCACTTAAACACGTACATTATCTTTATTTAACATATTGAAGCGCCATCTTTTGCAAAATCCGGTATTTAATGCTAGACGCAATTTTTGTTCTGTTTATCATTCTGTATCTTAGCTAAGCATACAAATTATCAATTATAAATTGCAGTTGAATGGATATCTTTTTTTCTACGCTTTCAATCGTAGCTCAAAAGGCTTTGTATTATTTGTTCATATAATCTGTGGTGTGAGACGTAAGCATTTTATACATATAGGTATGAGCTACAGAATTTGTACACTAATGAAATATTTATGTCAGGTGACAGCTGTATAACACAAAAAAATATAATTTTTTTCTGATTTTACTACAAATTCGTCCGTCTCATACCACAATTTTATGTCTATCATGTTTTATGTCTATCATTTTATTTCAATCCTGTGAAATGATTTTCAATTTCGTTTAGTCAATTCGGAGAAATTTACTCAACTGCATTGGTAATTCCAACCTTCCAGCATCGCCTAATGCCGGTAAAATGAGTTATTTTTCATACATAATATAACTCAAAACGTAATAAACGTTCTGGAAATCTTTCAAAATATCTTATTCAATCCCATCATTTTTCAATTAATTTATAAAAAAGTAATTCTGATAAAAAAAAAATCATTTTAATGTTTCTGTACTTGCGGACAATGTCAAGAACAGGAGCATTAAAATAATTTTATATTAACTGTTCTCTTTCAAATTATATGAAAAATGGTACGATTTTATGAGACACATTTCGAAAAATTTCTAAAACATAAAAATTTAGAAACAAAAGAAAACAGAGGTGAACAAAACGATCAAGAGATGTTAGAATATAATCACATCGTATAATTTAACAATATTAAAACAGGACGTTTAGACGTGATTAAATCTGCTTCAGTTGCAAATACAAAGGACCCCCCGCACACATCTTATGGAAATGAGGTCCCGATCAAATTGGCTGAAATTTTAATATGATGTAGATTTTGATTCACTGATCAAAAGTCTCAATGGTCACCAGACCAAATAATCAATACTTTTGGAATTACAATGGCTCAAATATCCAAAATTGACCTTCATCGTCAGACTGTATGATGTGATGGTGGATAATAACCACCGAGAAAATACCCTTTAATTAATCGCTAGCATGTAATTATTTGAATATATTAGAACATAACAATCAAATATTAAGTCATAGTTATACGTTGTAACGTGACGTTTTTTCAACCGTCCATCACAAGGATCGTAACACCCGACCGAAGGAGCACGGTCCGGATCCCGTGTTCTCTCCAATTTAGGAAGGCGAGCATATCCGCGCGCATACGTTTTTTATATCGTATTTTATCGCGTTTTACTTGAAATTTTCTTGATTCAAGCGTAGCGACAGGTAGAGATCGGTGGTTAAAAGATCCACCGCGTGTAAGTTCTTCGTCTCCACCGATCGGCAAGAGGAAAAAGACGCTGTCATTGGAGGAGCCTGTCACCGGGGAAAATGTAGAACACGCAGCGGCATAATTCTTAAATTAAAATTCGATAATTAAGCCCTTTCTTAAAACCTTTTACTGCTGCCAGAATTTTACAGCGCAGAATTATGAGAAGCAAGCGGTTGCCGGAACACACCCGCCTTCCCGATTCGCAGAGGACAAAATTGAAAAAATTGGCTGTGAGATCGAGGAAGATAAGGATGCCAAGAGGAATGGATGTCGAAGCGAAAGAGCGCTGCTTATATAGGAGCGATCATTCAACGCCAAGGATAACTTGAAAGGCTTCGTGGGCTATGGATCTGGAAAATCGGCGAAAGTTCAAAGCTCGCGCCACTGATCGCGAGATACTCAGCCGCCCGCGACGCACACGATACACGGACGTCGCGTTAGGACTAGAGCCAATCGGCATAAAATATCGATCGATCCGCGTGGGTATATAATTTGTGGTGCGTGTACTAAATCCACTTTTCAAGACTGTTAGGGCTTTATTCTCGAAAAATTTCGCATATGAAAATACGGAAATGTACTTTCGAATGCGTAATTTTATAAATAATTTATAATATAATATCTATATATTGTATTGAAAATTGTCAGCAGAAAAAAGATGCATTTAACTATCATATTGCCGCGTACATTGTAATTTTGAGACATTACTAGTATATAACAGGCGCGTGCTTCGCGCGCGCTGCGTATTAGCTCAACTCAGGGAAATCGTAATCATCGACTATGAAACCTTTTTCAAAAAATTCCCGTAGCCCAAATTGCGAAAGTCGAATTCATCAACCCTGGATACCTGTTGAGCGAAATTCCCGTAAATCAACTTGAGAAAGTTCAAATTTATACACTATAGAAAATATTGCAAAAAATTCACGTAGCGCAATTTGGGGAAGTCGATTTTAAATACCTGGTGCAACGACAAATTGAATTCGCAAATTTAAAATTTATTTAAAAAAAGAAACCAAATCCTTGATCCTTAAAAAAAATCTAAAAGAAGTCAAAATGTTTAATTTTGAAAAAAAAAATTTTTTCAGAAAAAAATGACGTTTTGATCGACCATGTTGAATTGGCCATTTTAAAATAAAATCACGATTTTTAAAAAAATAGCCACAAAATTCATTTTTAAGATGAGTCGAGAAAGAAGTCGATATCTTTATTTTTCTGGAAGATATGAATTTTTAAACACTGGGGAAAAGAGGCTTCAACGCAGGTAAGATGACAATTAGGATAGGATTATTGTATATTCGAAGATTTCTTCCAAAACAATCGATAAAATTTTTTCTTATAGTTTCGACGATATTCGTTTCAAAAGAAAAAAAAATTGATTTTTTATAAGGAGTGTTTTATCCCTTTGAAGTATATTTAAGCAGGTATACAAAAATATGTGTTCCTTATTTTTGTCTAGAAAACAACATATTTGAAGTTCATCAAAATCGGAGGAAGATATATCGATTGATTCTCTTTTTAGTTAAGTCAAAACGTCCCGTTTTAATATTGTCAAATGAAATGGTATATAATGATATAATGTTCTAAGCTCTTGTTCGTTTTATTGATCTCTATTTCCTTTCATTTCTAAATACAAGCCAATATACAATTTTTGCTTTATTAAACCTTTACTAAAATTGTACAGAGTACAAATATATCTTTGATATATTACAGCTCAAAAATTATTCATTCTTCAGCTTTATTATGTATAACATATTTGATGATTTGAGCACCATTATAAGCTATAGCATGTGAAAAGCAACTCATTTTACCAGCACGCAATTTTTCATATAATTAATGAAGGATCGTTTGTATATATGTATGGGTCATTCCACATGAAAATAGATACCTCAAATCCTGAAGAGTTTTTAACCTATCATCTTCTATAAAGATTTAAAATATAGATATCAATATAGACTTTTGAATCCCGTGTTACTCGTTCCGGAATTCAAAATAGTTGATTCAAGATAGCCCCAAAGCAGTAGAATTATAAAAAAATATGCATAATCTATCACAAGCATCGTAATAATATACATTGACAAAGATGCAGGATTTTTCTTAAGTTTATTATTATTTGGTTTATTATTTGATCGATATATTGCATCCTTAAAAATCAAAATAAAAGATTCACTATGATGAATATCATGAGTACTTAATTATCTGCAGAACAGAATGATCACGAATAGAAAATAAAAAATTTATTATGAACGCATAATTTCGGAAAACAATAGTAAATAATTCTAAATTTTTAGTACTTTATCATGACATCCAATATAGAGAACAAAAGCAGATAAAATCTATAAAAAATGACAAAAATGACAAAAATTGTAAGAAAAACAGTTCATAACATTGATCAACTTTCGGAAATCATCCTAATGTTCTAATGTTCAAAAGTGTTAATGTTGAAATCCTTTCAATAGCAAGAACGTAAATAGCTATTCCGAATATCCTTACAAATCAAGTTTTAATAAGTGATCAGGATAGTTGCATCAAATTTCGCCATTTTTATTGCCATTTTGAATATTGGAACATGAATAAAGAAAAATTTTGTAGCATCAGTATACATTGCTGTTTTTTGATGGATTATTTTTTAACAATTTTATTGCTTTTAAACATTATATATTATTGAATCAATTATTTTATATTTTGAAATAACCCACATAGCATTCCGAAATCTATATTGATACCTATATTTCGAGCTATTAGAAGATGGAAAGTTAAAAATTCTTTTGGACTTGAGTTACCTGTTTTTACGTGGAATGATCCATATACTTGAAATAATTTTCTTGTGATATTAAAGTACAAATTTTAAATACAATACAATATTTCTTTCATAATAATCTTATCATATATTTAAAATAAAGATTTAAAAAGCTATTGTATTTATTATTATAACTTTTAATTAAAATTATCAATATAATATTATCAATCATAAATCATTATTCGGAATAATTATCTTGTTTTCCTACTATCTCAATGTGCTATTGCATTATACTTTCTCACAACTCCGCTATGCAATAAAAGCATTTATAAAGAGAGTTAAAAAGTAGATAATTGTCCACAATGGAGTAAATAACAGAAAAAATATAGATTGAGATATAGTGCTATTTTCTAACAACATATAAATATTAAAGAATACTACACACAAGCTGTACAATCATAATTATTATATAATTATAGAAAAGAAAAAAATAAATTATATTATTCTTTCAACTACGTCATACCTGGTCGCTGCATAACAGTACTAAGGCCACTCCTTCTTCTTCTATCGCTATTTCCACTATTACTACCACTGTTGTTATTATTTCCATCTCCAGTCGCAGTATTGACAGCAACATTTAATGACTGAGCACATTGTACTAATCCTGAACTACCACTCTGTAACTATTTACGTTTTTATTAAAAAATTTGAATTTGTATGTTAATGCACAATACTTTATATAACATAATTTTTGATAATAGTAGACAGAAAATAGTACAAAATAGTATATATGTATAGACATATAATATATATATATATATATATATATATATATATATTCTAAAATAATCACATGCAAAGACCAAAATATTCTTGGTATCAAATGAAGCAGCTATTTGTTTATCAAAATTCCATTCAAATAATAGTTTTTAAATAAAAGTTATTTAAAATTGTCTGAATTGTATGAGTTAAGAGCATATATCGTGAAATCATAAAGTATAACGCAAATATGAATAAGACTTCTTTTTATACCTTATTAAAAATTACATAACTATGATTACAGAACTATGATGATATTTAGGTTACATAACTATGTAATCTAAATTTATCGCTATTTGGAATAAAGAACTTATTTGTTACAAAATAATGGTTTTAGCAATGTACTAAAAAAATTACTTAAAATAAAATAATATCTTTAAACAATACGTACATAATTTTGATTAAAGTGTTGTTCCAATATTTTAAAAATATTTGTGGTTTAAAAAAAAACTAATGAAATATTATTTATAACAAACGTTTGAAATACCTTGCATTTCGACACAAACATTTGTTGTATAATATTTAATGTAGATTCAAAAATCAGATAATTTTGACATACAACTGGACTAACTCAATTAATTTAAGAATTAGAGAAAACTGTGTTGAGATAGTATCTCGTTTAACAGTAAGCCTATTGTTATAAGATGATTCTACATCAATCTACAAATGTTAAAATGGATATAATAGTAATTTTCAAATATTCAAGAAGTTTTCTGTTAAAAATGTAACATAAATATCTTTCCTTAATCTATTTGTAAGAATGTATAATCCAATAAATTTATCACCTATTACTCCGGTCCAAATATTTAATTTCTATCAAACTTGACAACTTTAGTTTCGAAAAAAAAAAGAATTTCTTCTACTCAATAATACATATTATGTGTATTAAAAAGTTTTTCATATACATGGTGTTCCCGGGTTAAACGGCCAAACTTAAAATATAAATTCAGGATAGGAAAACAAACAAAAATTTTCCTCTGGACATATGCTCGCAAACGCTTCTTTCAAGAAATATTAACTTATAAAGTTACTGTAGAACTGTAATAAATAAATAATGTTGAAATAAGGTACATCCTCTTTATTGCTTTATAATCAAAATTAGTTATTACATTAAATGTTTTGTTCAAAATGATGGCCTCCAGTCCGGAGACAAGCATTGCACCTATCAATGACAGAACGTGTGGCTGATTGACATTGTGCGTCCGTAATTTCTTCGCACGCTTGCTCAATTCTTTGTTTTAATGATTGAAGGTCATTAACAGTCATTTCCCTATATTTTTTGCTTCAGAGTACCCCATACAAAAAAATGTAGTGGTGTTAAAGCTTCAACTTCATAAGTAAATATCTCTTGAAAGAAGCATTTGCGAGCATACATCCAGAGGAAAATTTTTGTTTGTTTTCATGTCCTGAATTTATATTTTAAGTTTGACCGTTTAACCCGGGAACACCCTGTATAAGTAAAGACTTATAGATAAATAAAATTCAAGCATAACATAATAGAATAATATATTTTGCGCCATGTGTGACTCGTATGTAACTTAATATTAAACAATTTTATAGTCGTTTAGAAATAATCATTTGAATGAGTTTGATAAATAAAAAGTATACCTCGTTTACTGCCTTGTTTAATACCAAGAATTTCCTGATGCATTTTGCATATAATTTTAGAATACTTTAGAAAGAAAATTTTTATATTTTAAGACCGGCAAATATTCGGTATTATTTGCTTGAACTGAAAATGTGAAAGATTCATATATAAATATTATTAAGCATCAAGCTCTGTTTTGATCATGTTGAGGTTTTCTCATTTTAATTGTTTGAACATTCTATGGTCGATTCTTATTAATGTTTATATTCTTATTAATGTTTATATTTCTCTATATATTTATTTTTATTTACATTAAATTTATCTATTCTGTTAAAATATAATAATAAAGTTATACAACTCAATAAAATACAAAAAATAAATTACTGAAAAATTTAACTCCAGTTTATTTAAAAGAAATTAAAAATTAAACTAACTTCAAGAGCGCTTTTTCGCGGTCATGGCTGGATCTTAGATGCCTAATAAATTCTATATAAATTTTTCTGAACTCCATGTACAGCCGTTAAACTGCGCGCCGATTAAATGTTCGGACTTGAAACGCAATTATTAGCTGAGGCTGGAATAGAAATCTCATGTTGACCTTCCTAATCAATCGATGTTTATAAGCATCTTAAAATACTTAAAACAACTTATTGCGAAAAATATTACCTCAGCCAGGATATTTTTCGCAATAAGTTCTTTTCAGTATTTTAAGATGTTTATAAGCATCGATTAATTAGGAAGATCAATATGATATTTCTATTCCAGCCTCAGCTAATAATTGTGTTTCAAGTCTGAACATTTAATCGGCGCGCAGTTTAACGGCTGTACATGGAGTTCGAAAAAATTCATATAGAATTTAATAGATATCTAAGATCCAGCTGTGACCGCGAAAAGGCGCTCTCGAAGTTAGTTGTGTTATTTACATAGGCGGTCTTATTCAAATTATAATTATTATTTAAAAATTAAAAATATATTATTTAAAATTTAACACTTAGTTGCAATTTTATTTAATTATCCTTTATATATATATATTTTTTTTCATTATTTATATTAACTGAATTATATTTGAAAATATATTCTATAATATTTACTTACTGGTTGTAATTGTTCCCTGCTACCAGGTTGACTCCAGCCACTCTCTTCATCATTGCTAGAGTTACTACTGTGTTGTTGATGAAATATATGAAGATTTGCTCCACCATCTGAAGCTCTTCTACCAAAACTTCCGGCTGTAAAAATATACAGTATACAGTAAACTAATAACATATTAATGTTAATTATGTGTAAATAAATCAAAATTAAACTATAAAGTTAATTTCTGCAATAAAATTAAATTAATGTTAATATATAAAATTTATATGATATATAACAATTATTTATTAATAAATATATGTAGAAACAAATATACATGTATTGTACAAATGTACAAGCCCAAAGAAAGAGAGATGGAAACAGTAAAACAAATTAAAAGATAAAATAAAAAAAAGAAAATAGAGAGAGGAAAACAAGAAAACAGAAACCAGGAAAAGGAAAGCATTACAACTTATAGTATTTATTTTGAATGTAATTCAAACTCATTTTTGTATTAATAAATTTACTTCATTATATATAAAAGAACAATAACATAAGATCAAATGTAAAAAATTTACAACATATTTTACATTTTATATCCGAATAAGACAAAACGTAAAATATGACAAAATATACATATATCTTTTTCATCTTAATATATTTAGATGTCAAATAAATTCAATTTATATAAAATATTTTTTACACAATTTCATTTTAAAATCCCTTTCTTTCTCCTTCGCTTTCTCTCTCTACATGCACGTTACATGTATTACTGCACATTATGTATACATTTCTGCTCATCTTCTTGTATGAAAAATGTATATTAAATATAAGTTGAATTATTTATTACATCCTTTTAATTTTCATTGTTATCTTTTTAATTATAATCGACAATTTACTAAAAAATATTTTTTATCAAAATCCCTTGAATTACTCTACATAATATACAAATAATTTTGCAAATTTTAATTAAAGTATTTTAAGAATTTATATTGTATTTATGTGATATTCTTATTGTAACGTAATCTTATATTATATAGAATGTCCCATTTTATATTTGACAGTCAAATATTTGGAAATCGCAAGGTTTGAGAGAAAAATGTTTCAGACAAAAGTTGTAGGGCTTCGAGAGAGACATAAGATGATAACATTGGTTTGACCCTGAATGGCGTCATCAAGGTCAGGACAAG